ATTTCCTTTAAGGCAAGGTCTCATGTAGCTCAGGCTGGCCTCAAACTCACTCTGTAGCCCATGATATCCTTGCGCTTCGGATCCTCCTGCCTCTATGTCCCATGTCCTTAAATTACAGGTGAGTGCTGCCATAGCAGGATCCAAACTTTGGTTCTTCCATGTGGAAAATATAATCTGACAGGGAGAAGTGAATGATGTGGGCAGAAGCCTAGGTTTTAATTTTCCCATGTGGAGGCAGAGGAAGGTAGCTCCATTAATGACGAATTGCTGCTGGAGTGAGATGAGCCATGTATATCTCCCCTGTCTCCACAAAACGAGAGAGCTTTGGATCCATCTAGCCTTCTGTTTATCTTAATGTAGGTAGAGTTGTGGAGTGACACATTCGGGAAATTATCAAAGCAGCAAGTCCTACTTCAAGGTGCACTTAAGTTTAACGGCAGAGGGGCCGGGGCCTACCCCGGCCTCACAGTCTGTAGATCAGAGTGATTCTAACTCTAGGTATTGACAGTTTTTGGTGGCTAGATATTTTGTCGCTTGTGTTCTCAACCAAACCATCATTTCAAAAGTGGAACAAGTGAGAGGCGGACAAATTTCCATGTGTCGGGGAACAGTGCCCTCTACTGTTTACACAGAACACATGCAGCTGTCTATGTTCAACTCAATCGCCCAGACATGCGGCCCAGTTGTCTGCTGTGAGCGAGACGCCATTTGGGAAGGCAGTGTCTAGGTCTCAGGTATAAAACCGCTGCAGAGGCCAGCTAGCCAGCTGTAGCAGGTCTCTGGTCATGTAGATACTGATTTTTTTTTTTTTTTTTTTTTAATGCTGTGGATGCGCCTTGCCTCAAGCTCACAGCAAGGACCGAGGAACCGAGGAGCTGAAGTTTGGCCATTTATCATTAGAATTTTAAAAGCAGCGAAGCTAACCACTGCCCCTTAACTCTAGATCTCAAGCCGCTTAAAGGCAGAGCAGTGGTAGCTGTAGTCATAAGGGCGGAAGTTCATCTAAATCTTCAGCTACTCTGTTCCAACCCCAAACAATGCAGGCAGCACCCATCTTTATTTTAAACAAGGGACGAAGCAATTCTACAAATCCCGAGCCTGTGCTGAGCATCTGAGTTCTCTTCAATCACTTTGAGCTGTTTTCTAGCATTATCTCACTTAGCCACAGCAGAGAAAAGAGAGTGATGAAACATTCAGGAAAAGGGGGGAACGTTGTAAAATTTTCTTTAAAGGATTTTGAAAAGACAAAGTGTGGAAGTACTTTTTCTTTCCCAATTCTGAGTTTCAAATGTATGGGGTAGGAGGGCATCGACTCCCCTCGCAGGGCAGAATGCTGGGACAGGGTTCTTTTACATAGTCTTTCTGTATGCCAGGAATGGAGTCCATGACATAACACTGGCTGCTCGGTGGAAGTAAACTACCAGGTTCCGGGAAGGAAAGACTAATGTGGTTGGTGTGCCATGCAGACCGGTATTGGCACCTCCAGGAGTCAGCATGGTGTTGGGTCTTACCTTTTAGGGTTAACTCAGTATTAGGATACAAGTCAAAGTTACAAAGAATTGAACAGTTCCACACAATTTAACCAGTGAAGTTGCCTACCCTCATTTGAGACAGGACCTCACTTTGTAGCTGGCTATCCTGAAACTCACTATGTAGACCAGTCTGGCCTTGAACTCACAGAGATCTGCTTACTTCTGGTTCAGTTTTTTAATACTTGTGTTTAGTTACTACCACTGAAAATTTAACCCAAGATAGATTTGTGTGTGTGTGTGTGTGGTGTATGTGTGTGTGTGTGATGTATGTGTGTGTGAGTATGATGTGTGTGATATATGTATGTATGTGTGTGGTGTGTGTGTGTGTGTGTGTGTGGTGTATGTGTGTGTGTGTGTGTGTGTGATGTATGTGTGTGTGTGGTGTGTGTGTGTGGTGTATGTGTGTGTGCCTGTGTATGATGCGCCCAGAAGTTGATGCTGACTGTATTCCTCTACCATTCCACACCTTGAGACAAAGTCTCTCACTGAACCAGGAGCTCACAGTTTTGGCTAGACTGGTCCCCAAGCTTCTAAGATCTGCTTGCCTCCGTTTGCTCAGCTTTGGGGGTCATTGGTACATTACACGAATGCTAGGCTAGGGAATTGAACTCAGGCCCTCATGCTTTTACAGCAGGAGTTCTACTACCGAGTCATCTCCTCAGCCTCAGATTTTTTAAAGGATTTTGTTTTACATTAACTATTTGGGAATTTCATTTCATACAGTGTATTTTGATTATATTTATCCCCAAGCTCCTCCAATACCACCCTTCTACCCTCACCTCCCTACCCACCCAACTTTGAGTTTTCTTCTTCTCTCCCCCCTCTTCCCTGTCAAGCCCAGTTTGTATTGCCCAATGACTTGTTTTTAATCCTTTGGTGAAGTCCGCCCTGACAATGGCAGCTGATTTCGTGGTCTAGCATAACCAGGAATCCGACATCACCAGCCATTGGACATCGTCGAGGGGAATCAATCTCCTGTTTTCTATTACAGGACCCTTCATGGTCACATGTATCTGTTTCCCTCAAGGACAGACATTATCCTCCCTTGTCTTACATCTCAAACCTTAGTTTAATAAAAGCTCTTTTTTATCCTTTATCCTCCTCCAGACAGGAACAACATGAACTCAGGATTTAGAATACTATTTGGGAATCTAGGAGATGTTGCCTAAAAGCCCAGCTCATAGCAGCTTGGGAACAAAATTTATGTCTGACTACAGAAATAAGTGCTTTAAACTGCCTTTTGTTAACTTTCCTCCAGGGGTCCGCATTTTGGAGGATTGTGGCAAGTGCCTGCAAGAAAATGCTCCTTGGAACCTTGCTTAGGTGATTTTGTGGACCCTTTGGGTTTCAAAAGCCCTGAGATGAAGGAAGTCTGACTACAGGTATGGGGGTGGGGTGGGGTGGGGGTGGGGGTCGGGTGTGTCTTTAGAGAACAGGCTGGCTCTAATCACCAAAAAATTTCCTGACTGACTAAAGTTAAACTCCATCTTAATTCTAAAAACTTGGTCTTGGCACTAGTGATGTGAACAGAAGCGTGTGTGTGTGTGTGTGTGTGTGTGTGTGTGTGTGTGTGTGTGTGTGTTGAGCACAGTGCTGAGACCCTGAGCAGGTTGCTTCCTGGTCTGTACATGCCACAGAGGGCTGGCCTCACCTGCCTCTGCAGAGCACACGGTGAATGGGGTCTTGAGATGTCTCTAGGGTTTCCTGAACAGGCCTGTCTGATTTCCCTTTTGAGCTCATAGGTCAGTACCATCTGTTTCTATTCTTTCTATTATCCAGCGTGTCTTCGTTTGTTAAATAAGTGACCCCTGCACCTTGTATAGCTCATTTTCAACAGTGACATCGTGTGGTTTCAAAAAGCAATAGCAATGGACTGAGCTGGCTCCTGTTCATTCCTGGCCAGTGGTGAGCTCTTCCCACCAGGGAACTTCAGTGCCTGGCTGGCAGCAGGGGTTCCGGCAGTAGGAAGGAGGGAGAGTCTTCAGGAGGGAGTCTGAACACAGACCCTGAGTGTGTGTGGTTCAGAGTCTTTTGTTTATTGTAGCTCTAGAGCCCTGATTAATGACACTGTTCTATCCTGGTCTGTCTGGAGGAATTTGCACTATCTCAGTCTATGATCTGGAGGGCTTATGACGGTTGCTTTCGGGAAGACGGCTGGGGCTCCAGCTTTAGGTTTGTTTAATTGCTAGAGTTGAATGATTAAGAGATGTCTGCCTTTGATTGTCAAACATTCCTCTTCCCATTTCGGGAAACACAGACTCTCTTCCTGTGGCAAGCACACTGTGTACTCAATGTAGCTACACTGACCCTCTGAACCATTTCTCACACACAGGCACTGATGGAGGTTAAAGGAGAGAATCCAATATAAATCTCCAATTTTCTCCAGTTAGGGTCTCAGTGACGCTTGTGTGTGTGTGTGTGTGTGTGTGTGTGTGTTTTTTTTTTTTTTTTTTTCAGCTGCTTGGCCAGTGAGCTCCCAGGATTTGCCTGGCTCTCTTCTTCAGCACTGGGCTGACCTTTCTTTCTTTCTTTTTTTTTTTCAAGAGGGCCAGGGATTTGAATACAGGTCCCTTCTTCCACAACAAAATGGTCTTCCCCATTGAGCCAACAAACAATTCTCAGTTCCTCTCTCTCTCTCTTTCTTTCTCTCTCTCATCTATCTTGTTCTCTAATAAGGAATTAGGCAGATGCCTCTGGCTTGACCAATCAGAAAGTCTGTCCTGTTGGCCAAATGATTGTGGGACAGGAGACAAGCAATTTACCTCAGATGGGCCAGTCTGTGTTCTCTGGGCTTTGCAAAGAGAACTATTGACCAAGGTTGTTTCATTCTATTGGGCAGTACAGAATTTAGGGTGTTGGCAGTCATCCTGAACTAAAGGGGGAATGGCCAAAGAGAAACAAAAGGAAACGAAAACCTGATTACACTTCGAGGCTTCTTCCAGACTTGCCTATTATAATTTCTTACATTCATAGGTTTTTGGTTGTTTGATTGTTGCTTTTATTTATTATTGTTGTTATTATTTTGGAGTGAAAACCTTCCTATATTGCCTCTGCTGGTCTTGTACTCATGGTTTTCCTGCCTTAGTCCCCTGAGTATCTGATGTGACAGGTATGTGACACTATGGCCAAGCCTGTTGATGGATATATACACACTAGGTTAGTGACACTACTTTAGATTCTGATATAAGTTCAACTGTAAGTAGTGGGGGAGGTCTTCTGCACTTCAGATTCACAGGTCTTACCTTTACAAGTAATCTATAGAATTCTGAAATTAGCCAGGTGTGCTCACTACAGCACACTATTTGTTTTATACATCGATCCATCCATCCATCCATCCATCCATCCATCCATCCATCCATCTATCCATCCATCCACAAACTCATTGACAGAGTTCTTTACTGGGCAAGATTAATCTTGGAAAAGTGACATGGAGACAAATGGTCACCAAGTAGGCCAACCTCAAGGGAAAAACCGAGGAGTACCTCTACCCTCCACGTCTACAATCCTGTGTCCCTCTTGCCTTCTGCTGCTCACAGACACTGCTTGGGATCAGTGGGGTAACATGTCTTCTGTCTCAAGTGTGAGAGATGGAAAGAGGAAGCATCGCAGCTTCCACAAGATGTCTCTGCTCAGTATCTTGGGCAGTGCGTTGATGAGTAGGTCGGGATTTATAAAGCTTAAATGGAAGATCAGGTACCCCAGCAATTTGATGAAAAATAGTGTGGTAAACAAGAGGGAGCGAAAAACCCTGAAAGAGAAACCCAGAAACTGTTAATCAGGGGTTATAAGACCCGGGAACAGAATAGAAACTCAGACCTGAGCACCTCTGACATCTTTATATCCCAGCGCCATCCCTTAATCGCTCCTGATGCTTAGTCAGTTATTTTTCCCATGCACCCCTATTTTATTTTTGTTGTACCATTTCTCACTACAGAGCTTCATTTTGTTCCCTTAATTTTGATTTTTCTTTGCCAAGTATTTTCCAAAGTAGTTAGATGCATCTAAGTATGTATTTCTGTGGGCCCCCATCTCCTCTAACTCTATTTTTATCAATGCTTCAGATTTTGCCAGTCAAATAGTTATATAAAAAAAGTAACTTATCTGTCCTCAATTCACATTCCCATGATGACCATGAAGCTGAACACTGGTCCATAGGCTAGTTGGTCTCATGTGTTTCCTTCCTCTTGCCCATTTACCTAGTAGGAGCTTTGTGCTTGTTGACTTACAGGAACTCTTTATATATTGTGGATGTATATCCCTTTCCATTGTGTGTAATGTTCTATACTCTTCCACATTTATAATGTTCCCTGGTTCTCATGTATCAGAGAACAACGGATCTTAATGTTAATAGGACCTTGTTTATTAACAGTTTCTTTGATTAGAATCAATGTTTCAGTCAAGGGTGATGACATATGTCTCTGTAACCCCAGCACTTGGGAGGCCATGCATGAATTGGAGACCAGTGTAGCAAACTCCTATTTGAACAAGCTAAACAACAAAACAAAAGTAACTCTAGAAAGATACTCCCATTTTTCTATTCAAAGTCCATGCAGGTTTGCTAACTATCTGTAAGCTCATTATTAGTTTGTCCTCCATGCAGGTATTGCAGTGTGGACAGGACTTAATGGGTTACTTCTAAGGAATTAAACATGGCAGCGAGTGAGTCCTGCTGGACTCTAGTATTATGGATTAGAGGAGCAGCCTGGTGGTGCTGGGAGGCACTCTGTTCAGTTTCAGAAATGTCCTAGCTAGGGATATGTGGACATGTAATACTTCATGTATGTGGTATGAGAGGGTATTCTCCTTAACCAAATTTCCCAGACAATCATAGTTGACTTTAAGCACCAATAATTCTAATTGTCCTTATTGAGCTCTTTCTAAACCATATTTCATGCCACTTTGAATATATGTTTTTTGGGGCCTTCTGAAGCAGATCATATGGAACATAATTTGTCCTTTTCTTGCATATGGAGGGGCTTACTGAGTACTGAGTGTTCCTTGCTGTCACAATGTTCCCCTCAGGACTAATATGTACTCAAGTGTTCAATTCTGGATTGCTGTTCATGTAAAAAGCTTAAAAAATGTATTCTGTCATGGATGAGGATTTCTTTCCACAAATGTTTTCTGTTTCTTATGTCTGCTGTTTGATGGTTGTGCACTTTCTTCTAGGGGTTCTGTCTCCCCACTTCCTGTCTATCATTGCTACTGGAAAACTGTATTCAACAAGCTACTTCAAATCCTAAAAGGGAGTAAATGTGAGAGTTGCCACATCTTTCCTGAGAATGAAGATTTCTGTTACTCATCGCTACTAAATTGCTAACGTTGGATCAGAAGTCATGTCACTAGAACTGACTTACACAGCCAGTGACCCTAGTCTGCTGGTGTGTGTGTGTGTGTGTGTGTGTGTGTGTGTGTGTGTGTGTGTGTGTGTGCCTGTGTGTATCAGGTTCTCCTTGTTTAGATTTTGCTCTCTGCTAGGATGGCTTCTGGCTCCTCTGCTCTGCAGGAAGTTTACTGAAAGAGATCTTGCTTACCTTTTACTGAACCTTGATGCCTTCTTGGTGATGGAGTTACCCTGGAAGAAACACCAATAATAAATAAGCAATTTCTGGATATTGTCAGGTAACATTAACAGATCATCAGTTGAATATTAAATTTATATAAATCTTCCAAATTCTTGATATAAGTACAAACACATGTAATTTTCAATTATGAACATTGCTTACTAAGATTTATTTTGTTTCCTTTTAAATGTATGTGTGTCTGTGTGGATGTGTGTATGTAGGTTTGGCAATTCATGGAGGCCAGAAGAGAGAGGGTGTCAGATCCCCTAGAGCTGGAGTTCCAGGTGGTTGTGAGCGGAATGAGTTCAATGACTTGGGTGCTAAAAACTGAACTTGGATCCTCGGTAAGAGTAGAAAGAACTCTTAACAGCTGGATCATCTTTTCAGCCTTAGTTTTCACACACACACACACACACACACACACACACACACACACACACAAGTAGAGAACGATTATTATTAATGAGGTAATAATATAACTGGTAAGTGACATACAAACTGAGTCCTCAATGTCCATATTCCTAGCTCTTTAAATTACTCATTTACATCCCACTAAGCCAAGGGGAATTTATAGCCCCTGGGAATCATATGGACACATCCGAAGAGAGAAGTTTCAAAAGGATTAAAGTACTCTCAAAATGAAGCTTTCTGAATTTCTTTCTTTTCTTTTTGGGTTCTTTTTTCCCTTTTTCTTCTTTTATTGTTGTTGTTGTTGTTTTTCCCAGACAAGGTTTCTCTAGCCTAGCTGTCCCAGAACTTGCTCCGTAGACCAGGCTGGCCTTTAACTCATAGAGATCCACCTGCTTCTGCCTCCTGAATTCTGGGATTAAAAGTGTGTGCCACCACTTTCCCAGCTGGATTTCTTTGACCTCTCTCTTCCATGAATATTTTCTCAGCTATTTTGTCACCTTACAAAGTAGTCCCTTTTGATATCAAGAGTAAGAGAAGTTCTGCCCAAATTTTGAAGCCAATAGAACTAGAATCAGAAACTAGAAATGGGTTCTGTAGCTGAGGGATCTGGAATATCATGGCAGGCGCTAAGCTGCTCAGGCAGCCTTTCCTGGGCCAAGGCTCTTGAACATCACTGAACAGTAGACCCTCATGGGATTCTAATGGGCTCCAGGAAGACAGATTTTTCTCTGATTTTTGCTAAGAAGAACTCCATCTGTGGGCCTCTGAGAACGAGTGTAGAGCAGGCTAAGTTTGGTTCTAGAATGCTGGATCTAGCAGATTTCAGGAGGCTTGCTTGCTGAGTAGAATGTGCAATGGTAGGGACCAGAATAACTTGTGACATGTGAGCATGGTCCTGCAGAAGTAAATATCTGGAGGGTCCCAGGACCATAGTTAATATCTGGCAGTGTCTCTTATGAATAGTGATGGCTTCTTGTTTCTGGGATTTGAAAAACAAAACAAATGGCCCTGAGATGGCTCAGTAGTTAAGAGCACCAGCTGCTTTTCCAGAGGTCTGGAGTTTAATTCCCAGCAACCACATGGTGGCTCCCAGCCATCTACATGCTGTGATGCCTTCTTCTGGCCTGCAGGCATACATGCAGATAAAGTACTCATATACATAAATCTTAAAACAAACAACAACCGACTTATCTTCACTACATGAAAACTCTGGTGATTGTCAAACTTGGTCTTTAGGCCAGTGTAACTGTTCTTCCAAAAAATTCTTTGACTTCAGACCTTTGCCTGTGCGCTGGCAAGTTCATGATGTGAACTATTATGAAGTGTGACATGAAGTATGACTTCCTTTTCCTTAGTTGTTGTTGTTTTTTCTTTCCGAGACAGGGTTTCTCTGTGTAGCTTTGGAGCCTGTCCTGGAACTCCCTCTGTAGACTAGACTGGCCTCGAACTCACAGAGATCTGCATGGTTCTGCCTGAGAGTCCTGGGATTAAAGGTGTGAGCCACCAACGTTCGCTTGTGTGCCTGTGTTTTAATTTACAGAACAGCTCCAGCTACATGGTACCACGTACCCAGTGATCTGTATTGTAAAAGCTTCAAGACTGTGTTGGGAGGAACAGAAATGCATTTTGTGATTACAGGAAAGGGTATTGCTGTGTCTGCCTCCTCTTACATTTCCTCCATTAATGTACCTTCCAGCTTTTGATTGGAATTTTAAGGTCTCAGGTTGGATTTTGAGAATCTGTCTTTTGTATGGGTAAAAGTGGGACAGACAATTGCTCCTTTTCATCTCGGTTGGGGATGGGTAAGGATGGAAATGTTTGCAAAGTGCAGTGAGAAAATTGGGCATCCACTTGGTGACTCAGTTCCTGGAAAGTCCCTGGGTAGGCAAAGGCGCTGAGTGGAAGAAGTGGAATTCTTACCTTGCTTTTTAGGCTGTTACTCTTTTCTCTCTCAGAATCCATGCTTAAGACTTTTGATCTAGGAGGAAAAGAAACCACAAGAGAGATTGGACAAAGTATTCAAATATTTATAACATATAGGATAGTTATTTTAAAAGATGCCTTATCCAACAGCGTAGCCATTACTTATAGTTGTTTAAATAAATTTGAACAGAAACCCAGCTTTTTGACCACACTTCCCATCTTCCAAGGTCTCAGAAGTCAGTCACTGGTGGATAGTGGCCTCCTATTGGATGGCACAGAAAGTTCTACTAGACAACTCTCTTCTAGAATCCCAGCTTAACAGGGAAGTGCTAACATTATGCCCAACAAGCATCTAGAAAGACCTGAGAGTGAGCCTCAGGATCAAGAACCTCCATGTCCTAGGACCTGCTTCTATGCTGCCATTTGATAATGGCTGTCGTAGAGGATAATGCAATATTGGCTTCTTGTTGTTGAGTGAAAAACCATCCGGAATTTAATAAACAGAAATGCATGTTTATTATGATTAGCTCACAAAGAAGGTGAAGTGATGGAGGCAAGGCTCATTGTTTTGGTTCTCTATGATTTACCCCTGAGGAGAACAATAATCTTGACATTTCTAGTTTTTAAAGTTCATAGCTCAATAGAGTTCAAAGATCTCAATTTCAGAACACATATTGTCAGTATTTCCAGGGATGCATTCCATGCCTATATTGTGATCGGTATTTTACATATTTAGAAGATGATTTTACCCTGATGGGAGATGTCATCCTGTAAATCTGTTTCTCTTATTGGTTAATGAATAAATCACTGTTAGCAAATAGGAAGGCATGATAGGCAGGACTAGGAGACAAGGAGGAATCTGGGAGATGTAGTTGAGAGGAGTCAAGATGTAGGATGTGACAGAAGTAAGAGGTCCAGACCCTTTCTCTGATAAGATAAGATCATGTGGAAACACTTAGATTGATAGAAATGAGTTAATATTTAAGACAACGCTAGCCAATAAGAAATACTAGTGACTGGCCAACAGTTTCATAATACACTATCTCTGTGTGTTATTTGGGGCTGATGCGGTAGTGGGACCAGGCTGGCAGGAAACTGTAACAATACCCCACTTACTAAGGATTTCAGATACCAACACTTTAAAATGCATGCATATGCCCTTAATATTATCCATTATAATATAGCAGTGTGATAAAGTTATGAAGATGTGTTTCTTTAGTCTTTTAAGACTGCAATGCTAACAAGATCACAAAAGGAGAGGGGCTTATTCCATTATAGAGTGGACCTGGGCAGAACTGACTGTGACTCAGCCCAGAAGGAGTTACCACCAAATTAGGATGTCCCTTTGTCAATGCTCACACTTCTCTTTCAAGGAATCCTGTCTCCAGCTCTTCTTCTATTCTCTTCAATGCTTCCTGGTACTTCTTTAAAGAGAATTGAAGGGAGCCACAGTCACTATTTGAGCAATTTATGCTTTTTCCAAACATGCAAACACTTTTAACTAGACCATATAATGAATACTTGGTATTCTCATGGCCACATCCTCTCAACCCACCACCTTCTCTCCCTTTATTCCTCAGAGGTGGATAGGTTCCCAAAAGTAACAGGGGTTAGACATAGAGACATGCTTGTTATTAATTAAAGGACACAGATACTGAGATAGCATATCAGCAGTTACCAAGAATCAAGGGATAATAGGGCGATATGTGCCAGGGACTAATGGCCATACAGTCTCTCCCTAGTAACCATATTGTGATAATTTTTTCTAGGTAGTGTTCCTTGGGCAGCCTGGGGACATTTCATCCTGTCCCTGAACAATCCTTTCGCTGTCCCTTGACTGAGAAGCTGTACCTTTATGCAGAGAGCTTGATCTTCACAGAGCTGAGACACAAATGCATAGTCTTCCATTATCTGGAAACCAAAGTTGAGTCTTAAAGTTTTCTCAGTTTATTGTTGGAAGAGCAGAAGTACTTACATCTATCCATTTTTAGACCAAAATGTAAACTTGCTGGATATATAAATTCATTTCTTTTTTGAGGACAAACAAATCATATTTTATAGTTCAAATAGGAATTATTTCAGGAAATTTGGAAAAAGGAGTAGATACTAGTATGTGTTAGACACAGAGTTGGGCTGTGTTCTGTAAAAATGTTCAGCTGAAGAAAATTTAGAGGATTGGGTTTGTCTCCAGCCCCCTTTTTAACCACTAAGTAGACCCATGATGGTTCTGAGTCTGGAAGCCGATGATATGTCAGTCTTTCGTGGGCCACATTAGGTTGATGGAGGATCATATCTCTCCATCTTGGGGAGAACTTTGAAGTCACACTCTCACCTTGCCAAGCTCCTTTTCTTGATTTACACAGGAAATCTCCAGCTGTTGTAACTTAACCTGTTGAAAGGAAAGGACCAACCTTAGCAGATGAAGATGCACAAGGCAGGCATATCATCTCAATGAAGCCCTACTAGTTCTTGACATGGCAGGCTACAATCGGCGGAGGCCTTACAGCATCCAGCACTTTGCAGCTGAACAAATTTCTTTACATTGAGCCTTTGTCATCTACGTTTGCCTTTGAATTATATAGTCTTAAAGGTACTTTTCTAAAAAAATGATGAGCCCTAAAGAACTTGGCTTTCCATTTCCCTCCCGCATTCCCCTTCTTTTTATTGAGACAGCATTTCTTTGTGTTGACCTCACTGTCCTGAAACTCACTCTATGGTTAGTTTGATCCAGGACTTTCGCTCAGTATTTTATCCCTCAGTATATTCCCTTTTCCATTTTTTTCTCCTTAAGTATTTGGAAAAACGCTACTTTATAATGGCCACTATAGCAAACTAACACATACACACTACTCTAACCTTGTGGAGAGAAAGAACTGGCGAGCCCTTTGCCTCCCTGAGGAGCTTTCATTATAGGTGGGGACATAACAAATAAGTCAATACAGTCTGTGCAAAAAAAGGCAATGAAGACAATGTGAGCAGTAGTTGTTAGAGGTGTGAGATGGTGACATGAGAAAGGAAAGGCCTCTGGAGTGAGACAATGCTTGAGCTGAGGACTAAATAACAAATACTAGCCTGGTAGATATCTGGAAGAAATATGTTTTGTGGGGAGGTTATTGCTAAGGCTAAGGCCAGGAAGTAGTGGACATTTGGTAATCGTGAACAGGTAGATGAATATGGTAGGACAGGTAGGAAAAGCAGATAAGGCCTAGATTATGGGCCTTTGTAGCTTCTAAAAGGAATTATAGGACTCCAATGACTAGTGGTTCTTAACTTGTGACCCCTTGGGGAGTGTCAAATGACCCATTCACAGGGTTACCTAAGCCTATATGCATATCAGATATTTATATTATGATTCACAGTAACAAAATTACAGTTATGCAACACAACAAAATAATTCTATGGTTGGGGTCATACAACATGAGGAACTGTATTCAGGAATCAAAGGATTAGGGAGTTGAGAACCTTCTAGAAGGAGTTGTCAAGGTTGTATTATGGGACCCTGGAGCTAGTATATGGAGTTTGGATCTTTATTCTTATTGCAGTGTGAATCTGGGTATGGGGGGGTTGGTGTGTAAAGACAAAGTCTTATTTGTTATTTGAAAGAACAATTCTTTTCCTGATACAGAAAATGGAAGGTTTATGAGTAAAATAAGAAGCAAGAATAGTTTCTGAGGCGATCTCAGTTGCCTGTGTTCTGGTGGTTTTTCAGAAGCAGGGAGTAACAGGATAACAGATGGAGAGGAGGGGTTGCATTTGGGATGTATGTTGGAGGCAGAGCAGAATCACCACACTTTTCTATTCAGTTCTATTTTTCTTCTTCCATCTAGATGGCATGATTTGACATCTGCACTCTGCACAGTTTCTTCTTCCTTCAATTAATTACATCAAGGCTAGTCATCCAGATGTTCCAAGAGCTATTCTTTCAGGCCAATGGTGTGAGTCATAAGGTTTGGGAGCAGATATTTCCTTCAGTGGCTGGCCTGATTACTAACATGCCAGAGGAAAAGAAGCAAAGTAGATGCTGTGTATCACACAATAATTACACCAGAATGCCACAGAACAGATGGTTCACAGGCCTAATGACATTCTATAGCAAAAGGTGGCAATAGCTCTCACAAAGGCTGAGATGCTGACAACCACCATAGCCAGACCCAATGTGTTTCCTATTGGTTATGACTGTATTACCTACAGCAAAATTTGTTCTGCAAAAGGAAGGATCTTTGGAAAACACTGGTCTCCTGACTGCTTATATGGCAAGCATAGTCAGGGTCTTTATAACTCTTTCTGGTCTCATCTCCAACTTCTTCCTGATGCAGTCTCAGACCCACTATTTCCTTCTTCCAAGATGTTTCCTACAGCAGCATAGTCAAGCTGGGCTTCTGGCTGGCTTTGAACTGCCAGTGTGTGTAGCCCCAAGTGGCCACCAGTACTAAACTGGCCAGCAGAAGATGGGACAGGAGTTCTACATCCTTCCATTTGCTGCTTCTATCTTCAGCATCTCCACTTCTTCAAAAATTTCGAATTGTGTGGGTGTTTGAATGTGTAGGGAAATTAGGTTGGGACAAGGATGTGATTCCAGAGAAAAATGTCAAGGCAGATTTTTATCTGCTTTCTCAATAAAAAAAAAAATAATGTCTCTAATTCTTGGACTTTTGATTAGTTTGTGATTAGCTCTGGTTCCTTAGAACTGGAACATAATTAGAGAAGTGCTTCACATTCATAGTGTGTTTAGAAAATAAAGATTTTTAGTTTAGGGGCTAAGTGAACAAATACTTTTTGGATTGCAATAAATAAATAGACTTTATTTGACATTCAGATGACAATACACATACAAATCCTAGGTCTGCCTTTATGTGTAACCTCATCCAGCTTCTAAGTAACAACTTCAAAATTGTTAGATAACTCTGTGACCATTTAGAAAGCAGAAAGAGGAAAGAATATTCCATATACACAATCTCATTTGGTCCTGAAGCCTAGAATGTGAGAAAGAGATGAAATAGCTCAACTGTACACATCAGATTAAGTCTAGAGCCAGGGTTTAAATGAGCGACTTCATGCCTTCAATAATCTGTACACAAATATGCTCTGTTTTTCCAAATAGAAGCGAGAATAAAATCTGCTGCAGAGAGAAATTCTTGAGTAAGGGCAGAGGAGAGACAAAGACCTCAGTGGCTCTGACTGTGCCAAGTCTGATACAGGCCAAAGTACCAAGAATTGGTAGCAACTTTGATGATTGTGTCTGACTTGAGAGCTGTTTTCCTGGCCATGCAGTTCAATCCAAACAACCCTCTCTTGATTGCTTAGCACTTACCTTTGACTCTTCTGGGGTTATTTCCAGATCACCTTGTTCACACCTGATTGTCTTTTGTGATTTCCTTGTAAGCTACAGTTTCAAATAAAAGACACATTTCAATACAGCAATGATGACAATGACAACAACAACTACTAAAAATAATCAGAGAGAAAAGATATCCTCTGGTGTCTGTGGGTTAAGAGTCATGGCTATATGAAAGCTTCAAGGAGATGGCCTTTGGAGGAGGATACTTGGTGTCCTGTGGAGCCATCTTCATTCTACCTGTGTTTTCTTACTGGTTTTGTTACCCAGTCTGGGCAAACAAGTACTTCTTTCAAGTGCCAACTCAAGATGGGCTACAAAGTGCTTCAGTGTGGGCCAGAGTAGGTATCAGTGTTGAGCTCTCTATAGTGTGGAAGGGGATGGAAGAGGAGATCTTTGGGGATTAAGGGTAATTGTGTATATGATGCAGTCTCTGTGAAGGTAAAATTAGCTTCTGGTTGAACACTTCAACAGTGTCTATTAGAATCTATTTTCTTGTGATAGAATGGAGAACTAGTGAGTCCATTGAACACCCTTCCACTACTCCTCCCACTCCATATTTACAGAGAACATTCATGATTTTTGACATGAGCTTTTACTTCAGGAAAGTGAGTGAGAGAGTGAGATCCATGCCAAGCTAAGGCCTTTCTGACACCTGCATCCACTTCCTTTGTCTGTCCTCTTTTGGAATAATAATGCTGTGGAGACACTGAGGAACACAGAGCCCAATCCTACCTTTCTCTGAAGTTCTGAGATACTGTGGACCAGAGCCTCATTCTTCCTCTCCTGGAGAGAGAAAGGACCAGAGTGTAATCAAACTAACATTACCTACTCTTACTCAGTTGGTATTCCCATTTCACGAGGCTAAGTTTTCTTTCAGCAGTTTGAACTTATTTGTACAATATAAGCAGATCTTGAAATCAAATTACAGGTGAAATAATCAGCAGCATATGAAGGATATAGATATTTATATTCCCAGTGATAAATATTACCCAAGAAACCCTACTTTCCCCAATCCCTTCCTATGCATGGACATAGTCTTTACATGCAAAAAATATTAGCTTAAAAGCCTCCTCCCTGAGGACTAGGTTTCATGGTGCCAGAAGGCTCCTTGGAAGCTTCCAAAGGAGAGAAGCAACCAACCATCTGGGCCTCCTGTGAATCACAATACCAATCAGAATAACATTGTAACATGATAACTCCAAGGGTGCAGTAGTGGCATTCACACCTTAGTGATAACCAACATCTCTCTAATTGGATTTAAGACCTGCTCAACAAGAGGGAAATCATGCTAGGTATTGAAACCTAGTTAACTACTCAGGGCCGGTGAAGGCATGGATCTTGGAGAACCCACCACCACTTTATGAAACCAGCATGATCGTGTTCTAATTGTTTGTCTTTATACCCTCATCCTTCATCAAGGGCAACAGACACAGGCATTACAGAAACAAAACAAAACAAACCAAAAAACAAAACAAAACCAAACCAAAAAATGTAACTGACCAAAATGCAGAGTTTTGAACCTAGTCCCATCTGATATATCTTCAATACAACCCCTGCACCTAGCACTCAGGGATCTTGCCAAAGAGGAGGAGGAAAACTTATAATGGCCTGAGGAACAGGTAGTTTTCTATGAGGTCATATCTTTTAGAAATGTCAGAAGCTACATCCATAAAGTCTCATCAACATGTATACCTAAACATGACTTGAAGAAGGATGACAGCAACAGACACACTAATGTCAATTAGGGTCTCAACCATATACAATAGTATAGTCAACTAAGAAACACTGGAGAGAGCACACTAATTTGTCATCCAACACCAAATGGTCAGCCCTGAAAACATACATACAAGTAACAAGACACAGACTGAGAAGGTTATATTTATATATTTAGTAATAGACACACGTATGCAACATATGTATGTCACAACAATTAATGAAAAAGGGGCAGTGAATTTAGGAGAGAACAGAGTACATGGGAGGGTTTGAAGGGAGGTAAGGTAAGAGGAAAATGATATATTTATGATCTCAAAAACATTTAAGAAAGAATAAAAATATGCTAATTGTATGTTTATATTGACTTTGTATTGAAGTGATATTTCAGCTATGTGGGATTAAAGATCTTATCAAACTAAGATTTTAAAAGAGTAGCTTAGTCAAAGTGGGCTGTGCTCTAGGGAATGGACAGAATGAAGCCCAGGGACTCACTTTCCCCAGTACCATGCTTACAAGTCTGGCTGTTTCTTCCTCCAGCTCCTGCAGGGCTCTTTCTCTTTCCATCACAGTGTAGTTTTCCTTCTCCCAATCCTCATCTTCTGCAGGGTCTCCAGTCTGGGTGATCTCATTTTCCAGCCTGGATAATGCAAGGGTAAAGACAGATTCAGAAGTGATAAAACTCAGGGGTTGATGACTACACGTGCATCTCAAGTTGGAAACTCTTCTTTTCCAGATCCATAGAATCAGGTCATTTCCAAACCATTAAGAAGAAAGGAAGAAAGAAAGAAAGGAAGAAATAAATAAATAAAGAAAGAAAGAAAGAAAGAAAGAATTTCCTTATCCTACACTCCAGTATTCTTCAGCTCAGGGAAAGCTCTGCCTAGTTTTTTAAGTAAATATATTTTTATGCTTGCTGTGTCTGAATGTCTTAGCCAGGGAGAATGACAGAGTGAAGGATTTGCTACATAAGATAGAATCCTCTAGAGAAAGTTGGATAGTTGAGTTTTTCCTCCTGTTTACCCCCGCCCCTTCAACTTTCAGTTTGAGAACTTCCATGGTGAAACCTTAGACTCACTTCTGGACTTCATTTTCTTTTTCTTGTATTTTGAGAAGCAGCTCCTGGTTGGCTTCATCAATTCTCTGCATATCCCTTTCAAGATCCATGTTCAAACTGATAATGTTCTTCTTTGATTGGGCCAATCTTAAGATTTCCATTTTTTCGGACCTATAGGTTCAGCCCCCCCCCCCCAAATGAACAAGGGCTGGTTATCTCAAGAACTAAACTCATTTTACAAAGTGGGTTCTCTAGAAGATAGGTCAAATGCATCTGCTGTGCTCTGCCTGGGAGCACACTTTGCTATTTTCATTCTTGCATACCCACACATCTTAATCACACCCTACAATGTATCAGTAATTCTCAACCCATCGAGGGACATCTTGAGATGCATCTCCAGTCAATTTCAAGAGAAGCTTCACTTCCTTAAATAGCCTTGTACTGGAGAGAACTGTTTCCCATGGCAACCTTTTCCTAAATTGTTCTCAAAACATGCTTATGCAATATACTTTTATTGACTATTTTTATCTAGGCACCTGCTTCATCACTTCTAAGCTATTCTGCCTTTATTCAGAGACAGAAGTTTCTACAACCACGATGGGGCTTCAATCTTCCTTGGTTCCCCTCCTCTTTCATTTCTGATTGTAATGTTTGCGACTCTCATATGTGGGCCATTTCATTGAGTACATATTTATATTTCAGGAACATCATTCAAAAGAACAAACATCTGTTTTGAAAAAAAAAAACTGTGAATGAAATGACAACTTTAGGAAGAGTACCTAAGTCAAGGGAGGCTCACATTAAACTTTTTCTAGAAAGTAAAACAATTTATTGGTTTGCTATTAGAGTTCTTAATTGGGAATAGGCTAGTATGGCCCAGGGATTTTGAGTGACACAAAGCACGGTATTAGAAAATAAAGTCCTATCTTGGAAGGGCTGGCTTGGGTGGGCAATTGACAGCAGCTATCACTTCCTGTAGGAGTGGAGTGCTTGGGAGATGGGTGGAGGGAGAAGAGGAAGAGGTGACTGACTAGATTAGTGAAGGTATAAACAGTGACCTGCCTCATACCCGGTGCCTGGGTGCAGCCTTTCATAGTCGCTGTTACTTACTCATAATCTAGTCGGTTTTCCTTCTGTTCTTCCATTCTAGACACCTGAAATGTCAGCAGAGATGTGGTTTTATGAATGGGGGCAATGGGCCCATTAATCTCCCAAATAGAAAGTCAGTGAACTGGTTTCTCCCTTCAGAGCCCCTGGGTTGGATATGACAAAAATCCCAGGCTTTTCTGCTCCTCATCTGAGTCTGCATCAAGAAGGAAGAGTGCAGGGTCTGCTGGAACATTCCATAAGCAAAAAGCACCTAGAGGTTGTTTGCCATAATAACTCGATTTGGAAATCTAGACAAAACACTAGGAAAAACAGAGGTGATCGGTTTCTCTTAAGTCTTCCTTCTTTATGACTTGCTGCTTTCTCAAAGGTCTCAGTGCATGGATGTAGGTAAATCGCTGCCCTGGAAAGTCATGGCTGTTCTCTAGCCCCCTGCCACTGCAAGCTTGCTGGGAAATGTGTCAGTATTAATCAGGGATGAGAAAACAAAGCAGAGGGAAACTCTGTGGCCCTCTCTGCCCTCTAGCTTCTACAAACCTTACCTCCCTTCTATTGATGTGCTTTGGCTTCCTGATCCTGCCCTAGTCAATTAGCTTCTGAAGACTCATCTCTTCCCACTGGAACTTTGGAATAGAATTTTTTACAAACTTCCACAGTGTTATGACTGCACAATTGACATAGGATGGGCTGGGCAGCATGTCTCAGTGGTAACAATGGCAACAGGTTCTTGTTATCTTTATGAAGTCAGAGCCTCTGTAAATGTGTGGGCTTTTTATGGCTAAGTCTGCCCTAAGCAGAGACAAGCTTCAGGGAATCTGGTTTCTAGGCAGCATAAAGGTACACCCTTCTTAATCATGTCTCTCTGGTAAATAGGGCTTTCTGCCTGTCCAAGTGTGATGAAGATGGGAAATTTGGTCTTGTGACCACAGTGATGCTATCATGTGCCCAATTAATGGCTCATTCATCCTATGGGTATTGAAAAGTAAAAGCACCAGTGTTTTCAAGAGGAAACAGGACAATGCAAAGCACTTGCCCTTTTGAAAGAGTTTACATTCTGACCGGTGTGTGTGTGTGTGTGTGTGTGTGTGTGTGTGTGTGTGCTGGTGTGCGTGTGCACACACGTGTAGGGAGGGGGAATACATTGATTTTATTTCATATGAGTAGGTGGAGGGGGAGGGGAAAGCAGCGAGTGTGTGGTAAAGAAAAGAGGATTTCACAGTTTTAAATCAGGTGGTGTGGAGGGAGAGAGCTATGGAGCTGCGGCATGTTGGAAAGAATCGCATTGGTGTATAAGAGGCTTGATGGGCATGAGGAGAACTTGGAGTGTGCTGAGATAAATACAGAGTCCAGCAGATCCAGCAATACTAGCAAGGGGCACCAAGACCCAGTTTTGCCTGCAGAGGCTCATGGGTTCATTCAAGCTTGCTAAGGTCTGAGTTTTAGAGAGTGAGAACCCAGCCCCAAGACAGAACTTACAAGAGATTTAGCATTGACCATGCCCATGATTGTCTTGAATTAGCTCTGCAATGTCTCTTGCAGACTTTCAGGGAAAAACCACTCACAGAAAACAAAGACTATGCATTCACAGCTGGTGACTTCTGGGTGTGAGTCACAGAAACCTGTCAAGTTTCGGGTCTCAGACAAGACCACGCTGAGGTGATCGGTGAGCCAGACTGACTTTTTAACATACTGAAGTTTCTAGCAAACTACTTGTAAAATTAATGGCCTCTGATGACCCCCATTGCCATCCCCTGAAAGAAGGCATCTCTTTGCTTTAAGAAGCTGTACACGGAAGAATCATTAAGTAACAATTCAGGCCCATGGCCTCTCCCAGGAATTGATGATAGGGAGAGTTCATTAACCCCAGCTGGCTCTGCCTTCACCAGGAAATGCCCTGGACCAAGGTTATTGCAGCTGTTAATGGATTGGATAGGGACTTTAACTGGGATAAAAATAAAGCCATGTCTCCTGCCAGGGGAGCCTTTCTCCTTGAGGGGCTACCACAGTGAGCTGGAGGAGTGGCAGGGCCCGGCACTTGGGCCCCTGCAGGGATGAGGACAGCAGATTGCTACCAGTGAAAAATCATTAAATCAAGGTGGAAACAGGGCCTTGGGGGCAAGTTAAGGTTTTTGATACAAGCCTCTTCCTGCAGACCACAGATGGTTTGATTAACACCCAGTACAGCTTTTGGAGCAGCTGTTCTCAGTGGTAAAGTTTCCATGCCCTCCCTCTCCAGTGGGAAGAATGGCCGAGATTAATTTCTTGGCTCACTCCCTGCTGTCAGAAATGCCTCTGCCTTTGTGAGTAACTGTTGGGAAACTCTTGCCCTGATTGCAGGCTGAGAGCCCCTGCTGGATGTGCTTGCCCTGTGCCCATTTGCTGTGGGGACTGGCCAGGTAGGTGCCCCTGAACCCTCAGTGGAAGCTGCCGGGCTCCCCAGCTGTTTGATGAGGGTTATGGGACATGGAAAGCTATCATGGTTGCTCACCTTGTTTGTCCTTTCTCTGAAGGTCACTAAATGTATACCGGATGCTTTTACGAGTAAGTCTGGTTTTGAGGCTTGTTGCTGGGGAGGGTCTAGGACATCATTTTAAATATCGTTCTTCAAATACACTCTAACCTCTATGTATTTTTGTATTTGTAGTTACTATTGTCATATGCATTTCAGGTTCACTTATAAAAATCTCTCTGAATTTTCCTTCAGAATACATTTCTAGTACTCACAAAAACAAACATTTGAACTACTGAGATATCGATATAGATTCTCTCTCTACACACACACACACTCACACACACACACCACACATATACGATGGGAGGGGGAGATAATATTGTCATTTGACCCCGATTGGCTTTTTTTTTATATATATAAGTCAACATTGAGATGTAATGCAGCTTAATATACAATAAATTGAGATCCAACTGACAAAAGATATATGTATTTTTTTTTAAAATGCAATTTATTCGATCATTGCTATTATAACAACAGTAAATATCTAAAAATGTTTATCATGAATTTTGCTTTGGAGCAATAACTCTGTTTTTCAAAACGTGTTATTAGTTATTCAAGACTTTCATACAGCTTCTTCTAAAATTATTACTTTAAAATTATTTATGTGTATGGGTATTTTTCCTGCATATATGTGTACCACGTATGCGTCTGGTGACTGTGGGAGTCAGAGCTCCTCAAACTGGAGTTACAGATGGTTGTGAGCTACCTGTGGGTTCTGGGAACCAAACCCAGGACTTCTGCAACAGCAACAGGTGCTCCTGACTCCTCATATATCTCTCTAGTCTCCTATACAATTTATTTTGACCAAGTCCTGTGCTTAACCCCTTTCAGATCTATTCCTTTACTCTCCAACTCTGTGTCTCGTAAAAACCTCCAGCAACTCATGAACTCCATTTTTGCTGCTTATATACTCCTGGATGTAGGATTGTACATGGAACTGTGATCAACATACCAGGAGGCATATCCCTAAAGAAAACTGACTCTCCCTTCCTAGGAAGTCATCCATTGTCCATAGCTCCTGAGTTAGGGGTAGGGACTCCTTCTCACTCTGTGTTAGAATGTTGATTATCTTGATCGTTTGCAAATCTTGGTATAGGCAACTGCAGATATTATGAATTCATGAGTTCAGTAGTCCTGTCATGCTCAGAAGACAGTTTTGATCCTGTCATTCCTGCCCTCTGGCTTTTATAATCTTTCAACCCCCCTTTCTATGATGGTCTCTGAGCCTTGGGGAGATACAAATATCTCATCTGTGCCTGAGCACTCCAATGACACTTACTCTCTGTACTTTGACTATGGCTCTCTCACCAAATGGGGTTCTATTCTGAAGCACTGAAGTTAGAATTCAATAGAAACACTTGGGAGGATATAACTGTAAGCAGAGGCAGAGATTTTCTTTTTCCCTGACCACACAGTCCCAAATAGACACACAAAAGCTTATATTAATTGCATAATGCTTGGCCTATAGCTCAGGCTTATTACTAACTAGCTTTTACAACTTAAAATTAACCCATTTCAATTATTCTGTGTTTTGCCACATGGCTCATGGTTTCACCTGTTCTCTAGTATCTTGCTTCCCTGGAGGCTGCTTGCCTCTCTCTCTCTGACTCCATACTTCTTCCTCTCTTTCTCTCAGTATTTTCAGCTTGGCTTTCCTGCCTCACCTTCTTCTGCCTTCCTATAGGACAAATCAGATTTATTATCAACCAATGAGAGTCATACATATTCACAACATACAGAAGGATTATTTCACTCATAATAGCGCTTAAACTTCACCTTTCTACTCATTATGACTGCATATCCAGAAACTCAAGGGATGCTTATCCATGATGGAGCTTGTGAGCATTCCCGTCTTTTCTCCTCTCTCACAAAATCATGTCAAAGGGGACTGTGACTATAGCTGAGTGGAAAAGCAATGGCTAAGCTTTTGTGAGGTTCCTGGGTTTATTCCAGGGCACATACACACTGTTCCCTCAAGGAACACATTGGGTTTTCTCCAGTGTAATCAAATGGCAACAATATTATTTAACTATTTTGAATTTGCATACTTAAATTATGAAGAAAAGGAGAATAAACAAGATTGACTGTCTCATTGGGATTAAAGAAGCTTTTAAAGTCTCCAGCATGTATGACATGCTCAATATTTTCAAGTTGATTTTTCTGTGACTCTGAGCATGTTGAAAAGGAAAGGGGATTTCTTTACCTATACCATGAACCAGGGAATTTCCACAGTTGTGATGCAGACCTGATATTATCGATGTCATTGAATTCACACTTCATATTGGTGATGGATTTTTGTTTTCAATGTGCTAATTTCTTCTGAGATAAACTCATGTTTTGTAGGCACATTAGCCAAACTTTATTTTATTTATTTCCATGTACCTCTGCATGGGAAATATGCTAGAAGCCTCAGGATTTCATAAGAAACAACATGATAAAAGGCATCCATTTGCCAAATTTCAATTTTTTTGAGTACCCTTTGGGTTAATTCCTGCAGGTGGTGGAGTTTGGTTATACAAAAAACAAGTAGAACATTTCTTTATAACTTCATCGTCTTGTTGCCAAGTTATAGAAAAATACTTTTTTAAACACTTGCTTATTAACATGTTGTTTCTTATGAAATCCTGAGGCTTCTAGCATATTTCCCATCAATAGCTGATCAATTACTTTCTGCTAGACCTGCATGGGACCAGATATATGTTATGTTATATATGGAAGATGATTACTATTTCTGACTATTTTCTATAACTGAATAATGAAGATAATTCTGAATCATCAGGGATATGTTCAGCAGTTTCAAGATGTAAAACAACTTTTTCTGCATATTGAGAATCAGTAACAATAGTAAGGGGTTCTGGAAAACCTATGATAGCATATGAATCTGACTTTTCAATGGAATCATGAGGGCTTTGATCCACTAACTTAAATTTCCTAGTTTATAACCCACCTTTCTTGATTTATTTGTATCAGTATAGAATGTAGGCGCTCCAGATATTGATGTTCCCCACACTATATGAGGAAGGACCCAATTGGTTCTTTTTATACATTGAAGTCTCTTACTTTTGGGATATTTGTGGTTAATCTCTCTCCCCCAAATTACTGC